CCCCCCCCAGCCGCTGCCCGCCCCCCGCAGCCACCCGCCCCCGCCTGACTCCCGTGGGCTGCTTTTCCTGAGAGCGAGGGGCTCCCCCATCCCCGCCCAGCTGTCCTAGCCGGTGGTAGGGTGTGAGCCACAGGGCAGGGTCTTTGCAGTGTCCCCTCCATGTCTGTCACGGCCCGAGGGCACAGCGTCTGCCCACCACTCCACCTGGCCCCTTCTGTGGCTTTAGAGGAGAAAGCTGAGGCCTTTCTCTGCGCGTCTGTTTCCCTCTTCCGGTTCTTGCTGTAAGGTGCGCGCACTCCCCAGAGACAGCGGGGGCGCACCCCTGGGTCACGGCCGTGCTGCCCTCCCTTCTCCACCCTCCTCTGGGGACTGGTCAGGGTCGTGCACCGTGCCAACTACACGGGAGTGCGGTGACACAGCCATTACGCTCACTGGTGGTCCCATCTTCTGGGGACTTTGGACAGACTTGCACGCCTCCCAGAGCCACTGGTCAGGGACTCGAACCGCGGTCGGCCCTGGGTCCCGCATCTTAACCTCCATGCCACCCGCTGGCCCTTGTTTCACTGTGGTCAAATTCAAAGTATGCAGGTGCAGTCCGTGAGACGGTGAGCAGTATCTGCCTGTAGCTTTTCCCAGATTTCCGAACTTTTAATTATTTAAAATGCGTACTAGTTATTCTGTTAGTGCTACTAACTTACCACAGGCTACGTGCACTCACCAGGGCGAGTGAGGAAGATGCCATGTGGGCGTCTAGCATCCCAACCCCCACGGCCCCCGACGGCCCCCGGGGCACGGGAGGGCGGGTGAGAAAGCAGTGGCCGCGGGGCCTGGGCCTGGGCCTTCACTTCACCCCCCCACCGGGCCCGCTGCCCCCAGGGCGAGAGCTCCGTCTCCGTGGACGGGAAGTGCAGCGATGCCGCGCTGCTGAGCAGCCTGCTGGAGGAGCTGAAGGCCACGCTGGCGCAGTGCTGAGCCGGCTGCAGCCTGCGGCGGGGCAGACGTCAGGTCCCTGTCGCGTTGATCCATTTCGTCGTCGTCCTACTTTGACCTTTGACACACTCTGGCAAGAAGCCCCTCCTGTCCCCAGACCAGCAGGCCGCAGCCTGGCTCTGCTCCGTGGCCTGCGCAGGGACCAACTGGAACGTGGTTGCAGGGTCTGGCCGGGGCCTGGGGACGCCAGGAAGGGGCACTCGGCAGACAGTGCGGCGGGCACGGGGTGGCCCCACTTGCAGACCGGCAGTGTCAGCAGGGATGTGGCCAGGCTGCTGTCCCCGGCCCATGGCGAGGACTGGTCACGCAGCCCACAGCCCCTGGACGGGCCCGGGCTGCCCTGCCATCTGGGCAGGGAAGGCCCGTGTCCTGGGCTGTGTCCACTGGGTGGAGGCCTGAACTGGGTGTCCCCATGGTCAAGGGCCTGCGTCCCGGTGCCCCTGCCACCTGCGCAGCTGGCAAGGGACCAGACCAGACTCCCTGAAGGTCCACCTGCTGCGGGGTGGCCCTCCACGTGTGAGCCTTGCCTGTGGGTGAGAGCTGTCACTTAGCATGTAGTCACCTGTCCAGAGCCCCATGCCGTGATTCTAGACCCTCCAGACGTGTGGCGTGTCACCCGAGAACCGAGTTGCTGCCGACACTCCCGTACGGAGAGGCACATCATGCTGTTGATTTCGTGTCCCGACGACCCAATAAAGTCGCAGAGCAGACACTCGTGTGCCAGTCTCCATCGCCCCACGGAGCCACGGGGCGCCGAGAGCCGCTGCCACGTGCCTGGGGCTACATCTCAGGAGGCGCCCCAGCCCCTTGCGCCACC